ATACACGTACATAGTCTCCAAACTTAAACTTATCACTAAACAGAACTGTTCCAAACCAAACAGTAGCTGATCCTTGTACTGCTCCCTCTGGAATATTGAGGGTCACTCCATACTGACTACTGTGATATTCTGTTCGATTACTACCTACTTGTAGCTTTGTTAATTCATCAAATGTATCTATAAGAACACAACAAATCAACAATCATTGAAGCAACTTGATGATTATATCAAACCTTTGGCACTTTGTAATAGCTCTTCACTCAGTGGAATTGGCATTGATGAAGTGCCTATCAGTATTTTCATTAACATTAAACAATGGCAGATTAAAAATAACGTACTATTGTGCTGAAAACTGTCAATTTCTTCATTTCTTTCATCCTCATTTCTGTTGGGTGGTCCTGCCAAAGAATCATTAATAGTCAATTGTATATTAACTTACTTTGATCTGAACCAGGAATCAATTCAATGCGATCATCGTCATCATCAAAAGGTGTTTCCATTTCACTCAATGAAGAGCTTACAACACTTGAATTATCATCATCAGCTCTTCTATTTGTATCTTGATGCCACTTGTAGCATCTAATATAACTGGTTACAATGATTATCAATGCTAGACTGCACAAAGGAAGCAGTACAATACTTGCTCTTATTGTCCATCGTCTCAATGATATATCATATTCCAATAGAGCCACTTCAGTGATACCTTTGGTCTTTATGATGATGTATGACTTTTCACAAAGTAGTATGTCACTGCAGACTGTTATATTACAAGATAGTGAGTTAGTGCAGATGTTTCTTGCTGTTTGTGATAGATTGTAATAAGCACGGTCGATTGATACATTACTAGTTACTGTCACACCTCTTTTGATGGAAATGCCAACATAATACTGAGACTCTTCTGCTATACTGAATGACCATGACACTGATGATGTATTCTCATTTGTGAAGCATTGCTTCTGAGACCCTGAGTGTGTACCATATCTAAAAAAGTCATCAAATTTTGCTAAACTGTTGAAAAGGATTACGCAAGCTAAGTTATCAAATGAATTGTGAGGTTCTTTAATTTGAAGTGTAGTTTTGTAATTTATAACTGATCCAGCCAGTAGATAAATGGGCTGGTTTATTCCAAGGTAATTATAATCTTGATAATAGCCATTTTCTTTTGAAGCAATTTCTATTTCCGGAAGATGCTCAGTTGTTGTCGATGGCTTTTTGGACATGAAATAAACACTGTCAATTCTAATATTGAAGTTCATGTTCACATTTCCTATGGAAGAAGAAGCTTCATGTACGCCTGTAGTGTTTCTCAAGCTATCTCCAATGTACAGAGTATTGTTGATTTGAAACTTTGGATTGATTGCTATTATAAGAGTGCCAGCAAGGACTATTATTAGTGTGAGCCCAAATATTAACAGACCAAAGAACTTGCATGCTGACTTGCCTATAAACACAAATCCTTTGATGTAAGAGATAGGAATAGCACATGCTTACCTGTACACTTCATTTTCTATTGGAACAACTGCTGTAGGTCTGATGATCTCTGCTGCAATAGGATGGATAGTAATAGAGTAATAGCACCAGTACACTTACCA